TTATTTTTTCATTTCAAATGTTTAAATGCTATACAAAAAATAGATGGTTTTCTTGCTAATCTAATGTTTAAGTATGTGTCCTGCAAATTGGAAGTTTCAACACCACACCTGAACAAAGAAACTTTCATCTACATCAGCCACCAGTTTGTTGTAGGAATAGTCACCTAAATGTTCCTTTGTTTACAGGGTGTTTATATACCAGTAGAGGAAGGCACAAAAGACACAAATACACACCAACACCACCGAACATTAACAGATACACAGAACATTTAACAAAAACGCTTACTTTTGACTGTGACAACAATGACTTTTTTTTTAAATCAGTTGATCTATAAAATATCAGATAAATAAGGAGAAATGCCTTAATCTGAAACTCCGAGGTGACAGAATTCATTAGCTTTTTTGCATCTCCAATAGTCAAAAACCCAAAGACAGTCATAAGGCAAATAAAAGCTGCAAAGTCTCAGAATTTATAAGCAATGCAAAATAATAATAGCTATTTTAATAATTAATCATTTGTGAAAATAGTTAACAGTAATTCACTGATCTCACCTCCTTGTCTGCTTCAGAAACCATGACCACAAAGTTGTCAGGGAAGACACCATCTTTACCACCAATCTCCCCTCGCCACCAGCCAGGCTCTCCTGTGTCCTGTCATAGCACCAAAGGAAAAAAGAGTCAATGGTGATGAATTTCTAACATTTGCTTTGTCTCTTTCTGGTAAATACTCCTGTTTTGTATTTATTTAGCAGCAAGGCAGATTCAGAAGAAGAAAAAATACAAGGAAAATTCTAATGTTAATGCTACTGTAGTAAGAAAATTGTAGTGCCTCTATGATTAAAAACAGATTTGATAAGGTGATAAGGGCTCACAGGACACCAGAAACATAATAAATCTGGGGTGACAATTTGTATGCCTGTTCCTAACAAAAATGTCATCACCTCTGGCCATTTTACATGCACTTAACTTCAGTCTCCACTAGATGGTGGTACCTTTCTGAGATCTCTGGGTGGTGAAACAGAAGAAATCATTACAATGCGTCACCAATCTCCTGCTATCAAATATCAAGCCTGAGTCACAGTCAGCATGTCAGACACAGATGAACTCAGCCAGAGTCTGCATGTCCTGTGTTGGCCAGTTGACTTGTACTGGTTTACTCCTGAATGACAGAGGAAGACTCAGCAGGAGAGACTCGGGACCAATTCTTTGGATTAAATCAGTCAAACAAGACAGCTAAAGAGGCTCTTTGAAAACTTTGGAGTTATGACAGAAAAGAACTAACTACTGCCATATAACATCATTCAAATGAAAAAAAATACAACCACCAAAACAAAGCCCTCCCTTGGCACCTGGAAATCACACCCATTGTTTGTAAATGCCCAAAGAAGCATGAAAGGACATGAAGATTTGCAATGTGACTAGTGAGACTGTTGCTGTCTTGTCAGAACTGAATAAAAAAACAAAAGGGTCTCCTTCCTCTCTCACAATCTGCACAAACAACCTTGTCACATATGACAAGTGTTACAGAGTAAGTCTAGGGCGAATGCCGGAAATCTACCATAGACTGCTGCAACAGTGGTTTGACTCTGTATTTACAAAACAAAGACAGAGAGATTTTTCTGTATGTGCTCAAATTTTTAACATTATTTTGTTTCACTGGGATCAGAACACCAAAGTCATCTTAGGAAAAGCCATTACTTAACCCACACTATTGATCTGTTTACAGAGCAGATATCATCTAACAAACTCTGTACTATGATATAGTGTATCTACCTATCAGCCTGCACTATCTGTGTCAATTCAAAAAACTGAAAATCTTTTAACAAATATGTTGGAGACACAATGAAATATTTCTTCTAAAATGCACTGAATTCTGTTCTCCCAGTGGACTATAGGCACTCAGCATTATTATGTAAAAAAACTGGATCAATAGCGAGTGGGTAGGAACTGAGGGTAATGGGCTATATGAAGGATTGATGATTAAATTGTGGCTCTAATTCAATCACATGTTGCTGTATGATTAAATTACATGTTGTAATAAGTAGGGATACACCAATACCAGTATCAGTATCAGGTACCGATACCAATTAAGAGCTGCATTACATTAACCTTATGCTGGCTGAGCTGCTCGTTAGGAGGTGAAGAACAAATTTCAGTGCTTCATGGATATTTTAAGACAAGTGACGATGACAAAAGTAAAGCCGACTGTGAACTCTGAATCTCTCCTCTGTCTCTCTGCAAAGGTGGGAAGGGGTGCTCACAGACATACAAACAGCGTGTCTGTGAGCACACACATAAGCAGACAAGATGATGCGGTACAGTAGTTAGTATTTTACTGCGACACCACCACCAGATGTGTGCAACAAAACCAAAAGTAATGGAGAGGGTAATTAATCAAACACCTGTTGAACAAGCTGAACGCAACAAACTTGCAGAAATGCAACATCTTCACTCTCCCTGTTGTCAAAATGCCTCTTCTCTTCACCCACAAAACCCATAAGGTGCTCATTATGCCGACTGTAGTGAACTGATGAGAACCAGTAAAAACAAATGCTCATTTTATCTAGTTAACGGCAGAATCTGAAAATCTGCATGTGTATGAAAACAAGTTGAATCCCTGTGGATATGGAGGCTGAGACCAGCAGCTCCTCTGCAGCAGTGCAAGTGTGTGTCCAGCAGAGAGGACAGGATAAAGCCAAATTGGCCAGTTAAGAGTAAGAACACATATCCTCGTAAAATTAAACACTTAAATTGCCGAATTGATATTACTGTGATATTATGTGCTCCCAAACTTGTCGTTCTGGGTGAGAGTTATGAAGTAATTAAACTCTAATGAATCATCTCCTCCTAGCCTCAAAGGACTTGTCCTCTTAGATCTCAGTGCTGCTTTTGGCACCACTGATTACAACATCTTACTACAGACATTGGAACATGTTAGTGGGATTAAAGGAACTGCAGTGAGTTAGCTCAGATCTTACTGATCAGATAAATTAGTTCATGTTAAGGATGGATCTTTTATACAGTCTGAAGTTAGTCATGGTGTTCCACCATGTGCGATGTTTGAAGTTCACGAAATGCCTAACAAAAGGAAGAACAAATTGTGGTGTTTACACTTTACAATAATATTTCTTGCATCATAATTTTGCTAAATGTGGTTTTTCTTACACAAATACATAGATCTTAATTTACAGTGCCTACCTGCATTTGAGCCAGTTTGTTGTTCTTCTCCAGGCAAAAATACAGAAGAGGTTGAGGCAAAGAAGCTTCTGGACGAGTACAACAGGACAGCTGAGGTGGTGTGGAATGCCTACACTGAGGCCTCCTGGACATACAACACTGACATCACCGAAAATAATAAGCAGAAGATGGTGAGACCCTCTGACTGACCGACTTCACAGAGATCAGTCTAACATTGCTTGAGCATCATCTGTCATCATTCAAACATTCCAATTTGTTCATCTTAATGTTGAATCTTCCATGTAAACTGAAGTTAGTCATGGTGGTTCCACAGGGCTCTGTGTCTCTGTGTTAGGGCCAGTTCTCTTCACTTTATACATGTTCCCTTTAGGCAATATTATCAGGAAACAGCATACATTTCCATTGCTATGCAGATGATACAGTTCTATTTATCTATGAACCCAGATGAATCAGATCAGTTGATCAAACTTCAAGCATGTCTTAAAGACATAAAGGCCTGGATGACCTGTAATCTCTTACTTCTAAACTCTGACAAAACTGGAGTTATTGTACTTGGGCCTGAAAACCTTACAAATCTGCTGTCTAATCATATAGTTACTCTAGATGAAAAAGCTCTGGCCTCCAGTACTACTGTGAGGAACCTTGGAGTCATTTTTCACCAGGATATATCCTTTAAACCACCCTTGTCATAATTTCAAAACAAAGGCTGGTTCTTTTCGTTGTTTGGCCACCAAGAATATGGTTTGTAGTGGGGGTGGGGATAATTTGATGATAGTGTAGATTCACATTTATCTAAACATTTTGTGGTTACTATGAGATATCGCTTCATAGCTGTAAAATGAAGTAGGATTTTGCAGTTGCATAGCCTGAATCTTAAACAAGTCAAAACTAATGGAGGGAATGTTAGCCGATATATAAAAAAAAACAAGATAACTGCAACTATGTTTTATCCAATTTGAAAAATGGAAGCAGAGTGATGGAGTGATGGCAAACTCTTAAGTAAAGGAGAGCGCTTTGAAATGGTGTTTGGTGGTTGAAACTGTGGGACTGACAGGCAGACTGATGACATTCTAGAACAAAGGCTTTCTCTCATGTGTCCTCAGGCTATGACAGTCAGGTGAGACGTGGACATGGCTAATGTTAGCTGAGCCATTAAACTACCTTTATGATTTACAGATCTGCCACTGAAAAGAAGCATGCAAGGTGAAAAGTGAACCAATCCAGCAGGTTAGCTCAGTTAGTAGACTTTGCTTGATCACATGTAGAGGTGATGCAGCAACAGTTACTCAGTTTACTGAACTTTTGTACCGTTTCCAAACAAGCCCAGCTGTTTCTTTTGCCCTTTGATTGTACAACTTTAATGAATAAGTCACTTGAAGCTTACCTTACTCAGGACATGGATGACATCACCCTCTTTAAGGCTCAGCTCATCTTCATTTGTGGCCTCGAATGCAAATGTGACCTTACAGTACTCTTTTACTGAAGAACCCAAAACAGTGGCACCTATTATAGTACACAAATTACAGAACTTTACATGCAAAATCACACAAGGAAAATAACAGCTTATACCGTATTATTATTCATGGTGCCACAAGCACAAACACACACACTAATGTGCCAGCACATACACAGGCCAAAGATCTTGGTTTACTTTACCTCTGGTGTGTCTGAAATATACACTGAACAAAATTATAAACAACATTTTTGCCTTTGCCCCCCTTTTTTCATGAGCTGAACTCAAAGATCTACGTCTTGTTCTATGCACACAAAAGACCCATTTCTCTCAAATATTGTTCACAAATCTGTCTAAATCTGTGTTAGTGTTGATAATTATTATAAATATATTTATAATAATGTTTTCGGGGGGCTCCAAAAACCAGTCAGTATCTGGTGTGACGATAGAGTTGATCAGATTGTTGATTGTGGCCTGTGGAATGTTGGTCCATTCCTCTTCAATGGCTGTGCGAACTTGCTGAATACTGGCAGGAACTGGAACACGCTGTGTCGTATACACTGATCCAGAGCATCCCAAACATGCTCAATGGGTGACATGTCCGGTGAGTATGCTGGCCATGCAAGAACTGGGATGTTTTCAGCTTCCAGGAATTTTGTACAGACCCTTGCAACATGGGGCTGTACATTATCATGCTGCAACATGAGGTGATGGTCGTGGATGAATGGCACAACAATGGGCCTCAGGATCTCGTCACGGTATCTCTGTGCATTCAAAATGCCATCAATAAAATGCACCTGTGTTCGTTGTCCATAACATGCCCATAGCATAACCCCACCGCCACCATAGGCCACTCAATCCACAACGCTGACATCAGCAAACCGCTCACCCACATGACGACATACACTCTGTCTGTCCTGTACAGTGAAAACCGGGATTCATCCGTGAAGAGAACAACTCTCCAAAGTGCCAGACGTCATCGAATGTGAGCATTTGCTGGCTCAAGTCGGTTAAGACGATGAACTGCAGTCAGGTCGAGACCCTGATGAGGACGACGAGCACGCAGATGAGCTTCCTTGAGATGGTTTCTGACAGTTTGTGCAGAAATTCTTTGGTTATAGAAACCAACTGTTGCAGCAGCTGTCTGGGTGACTGGTCTTAGACGATCTTGGAGGTGAAGATGCTGGGTGTGGAGGTCCTAGGCTGGTGTGGTTACACGTGGTCTGTGGTTGTGAGGTCGGTTGGATGTACTGCCAAAGTCTCTGAAACGCCTTTGGAGACGGCTTATGGTAGAGAAATGAACATTCAATTCACGGGCAACAGCTCTGGTGGACATTCCTGCAGTCAGCATGTCAATTGCACGCTCCCTCAAAACTTGCGACATCTGTGGCATTGTGCTGTGTGATAAAACTGCACATTTTAGAGTGGCCTTTTATTGTGGCCAGCCTAAGGCACACCTGTACAATAATCATGCTGTCTAATCAGCATCTTGATATGCCACACCTGTGAGGTGGATGGATTATCTCAGCAAAGGTGAAGTGCTCACTAACACAGATTTAGACAGATTTGTGAACAATATTTGAGAGAAATAGGCCTTTTGTGTGCACAGAAGAAGTCATAGATCTTTGAGTTCAGCTCATGAAAAAAGGGGGCAAAGACAAAAATGTTTATAATTTTGCGTTTAAAATTTTGTTCAGTGTATTTGTCGGGAATAAAGACATCCTATCACACCTCAAATACATATACAGCACAATGTTTTTTCCAAACAACTGGGTTTGACTTTTTCAGTATTTACAAGAGACTTTTCCTCATGTCCACTCTCAGCAGGGGAGCTGTACTAATGACATGCAAATAATGACAACAAAGCTGACAGGGCAATTTCACCAGGAAACATGACAAATAGAAAAACTGCTTCTCTCACACCGATGAGGATCTAATGACACCAAATACACTTTGTACATGTTACAGTATCTTTTACTTTTCTAGGCCTTTACCTTTGGATTTGCTGTTTCCATCTGCTCTCGGCAAGACTGTCATGTTGGGATGGGCGGGCTTTGCAGTGGATGGTAATGATGGGATTGGCTAAAATGAAGTAAACCATACAGATGGAAATGATTTATTGGACATGAGTGAATGTGTGGCTCAAAGTGGTGGAGTCCTGTCTACAGGACAGTCTGTCTGACCTGAATGAGTTGAACCATCTGATCATGGCTCTGTGTTAAATAAGTAGAAATGTTAATGAATGAAGAATTATTGGTTTAGAACTTAAGGATTATAAAAAACATGAAACACAAGAAGGTTTACTGAAAGAAAGCATACAATGAAACATAGAACAGAAGGCTTGGATCTTTTCAGCTTTATGAGTAATGTCTGATGTTACAAGCTGTAAGTGATGATAAGGAATCACAGGCAAGAAAAGATTGCATGGAAATGAAGAAGATAGAAAGGAGTACTGTTAACACTATGCTGTGATACTGACAGGAATTAATGCATAGTTTTGGGTTTGTAAATCACCAAACAAAATCAAAAAAGAAACAAAGAGCATAATTTCAAAACGCTACAAAAAGGACACTGTATGTCTGTGATATTACTACTGCAGACAAAAGGCAGCAGGGCATCTCCCAGAAAGACACCGGAGGCTGTGAAGAGGAGCGTGTAGCCATTTTCACACATGAACTCCTGACTATGTCTGCAGAATCAGGTCCAGACTTTGCCCTTTTACACATGTAGCACACAACAGAACATAGTCTGTGCCAGATGCGCTCTCACCTGTTGGAAATACTTCATTTAGTTTATGCATGGGGGTGCACAGGGGTAAAGTGCACAGGAGGTGGGATAATGACACGGCTTGTAATTTGGTCATAAGCAACCCAGTCTCTCGCTATACCTTAAATTCTGGTTCCAGCTCTTAACGACAGAAGTTCCAAAATCTTGTTGTCTCCAGATTTTTTTTTTTTGGGCGTCTTCGTTCAAAATGACAGTTTTTCTTCGCCATCAGATGCTTTTTTCCTTCTGATTTCACACTGGTTGCATGATATCAAAACACCCACTTGAACCATATGAATACTCTTGACTATACACTGTTTTCTTACATGGGTTCACTGTGGCTCATTTGGATCTTACACAGACTTTATACTAGGGAGCTGGCAAGGTAAAAGTCCTCTTAAAGTCTGGGTGGACTAACTCTGACATCGCACCTACAGCTTGCCTGGATAAAATCTAGAGAGGGTTCCAGCGCATGCCTGAAAGGGGCTTGTGAGAGCATGCAACATGTG